ACATAGGATGAGAAAATTTTATATGCTTGTCATAATGAAAAACATATAAAATCCAGAAATTTAATTTTTCCAAAGATATGAACAAACTACTATTTATAATTACTTAATATTTGAAAATACATACCATATAAAAAAGAACATAAATTTTACTCCACTTAAAAGCCGTTATCACCGAATAGCATGTTTAAGTGAATGTCGCACCAAAACCTACCAACATAAAATCATAAAATTGGAGAGACACTCTCTCCATTTTTCTCTTGGAAGTCACTTTCTCTCTCTATCTTTCTCTTTAGTATTGGAAAATCATTACAATTAGACATGCAGTAGAATAAAAGGAGATTTATATGAAGAAATTTTGCAATTGGAGCAAAAAGGGCAAAGATCCATAGAAGCAAGTTTCTTTTAAGGGTTAAAGATTTATCAAAGCAGTCCTCTTTTTTATTATATGCGATTATTAATGATGACATAATTTTTGTATATGGGTATAAATGGGTTACCCAATAATACCCATTTAATAAATGGGTATTATTGGGTAACCCATCAAACCCAATTAACCCATTTAAAATTCTCTTCCCCCCAAGTCTCTTCTTTTCCCCTACCTTTTTTTTTCCAAATTTTTCATTTTGTCATGATGTTAACATTATTATTATTATTATTATTATTATTATTATTATTATTATTATTATTATTTGTTGGTTTTATCTTATTATTTTATTTTTTCTTAGTTTGTTAACTTGCTCATTTTTTAGCATTACCAATTTATGATAATTTTTAGCCTATTTTCTTATCTTTATAAAATGAAATTTTAAATTTATATATGAAAAAATGTTAGGGGTTCAAAATTTTTGGATTAAGTTTTATATTAATTTTTATAGTACTTAATTCAAATTTTTATATTCGTATTATTCAATTATTAAATAATAGGTAATTTTGTAACATAGAGTATAAATGAAAAAAATTGGTAATTAAGTTTATTGAACATTATAAGTAAATATTTAAAACTAATGATGGGTACAAAGAGTGGTATAAATTGATAACTTAGTTTGCAAAAAATTAATTTAAATGAGTTTGCAAAAAGTTAAAATAAATGAGTTATAAATGGGTAATTGGGTTACCCAATTCATTTTTTGACTTACCCATTTATACCCATCTAATTAAATGGGTATAAATGAGTTGACTCACTTATACCCATTACCCATTTTACCCAACCCAAACCCGCCCAAGTCACCCATTTTGACACCTCTAATTCAAGGTAACAACATTCTTCAATCTTGTTTTAAAATTTATACTCAAGAGGAATGAAAAAAGGAAACATTTTTCAGTTACTAATAATGTAACGATTCAACCTGACCCTATAGGTGGATCGCCCCTTGCCTGGTAGAAAACTAAAGGCTCAGAAAACTAAAATCATAAAACTTACACATTAAAAAACAACCCTAAAATCCTCATAGAAATCAATTTTTCAAGAATATTATAAGAATTAATCTTCTATACACTGACAATGTATACACTTTCACCATTGGACGTACAACACATAATTTTTATTTGAATTTAAAAATCAAATTTTGTATATGAGTCGTGCATCTAACCGTGATAGTGTATACACTGTCAGTGGATATAAGATTTACTCGTACTATAAATCCTAAAATCCTCATAGAAATCAATTTTCCAATAATACTACAAGACTTATACAAAATTGCTAGAGAATAATATAAGATTAACTATAATGTAAAATTAAATTTTGACCAAAATCATGTGCATGGAGTCCCAAACTCTTTGATGTCTCGAATCAATCCTTTAGATGTAAATTATGATACTTCTAGTTGAGTCTCCTCTGTTGAAAACATTTAGCAAAACTTGATGAGTTAATGAGACTCTTTGGGTGTACAAATGGCATTAAACAAAAATATTAACAAGTCGTAATAGAGATTCAAAATTAATCTTTCAAATATTTTTCAAAAATTATCAAAATTTTTAAATATCTTCATAAGATTAAAGATCAAGCAGTAAAATATTTATAAATTACACACAATTATCAATCGGATGTATTTTATCAAAACTTGATCGATCCAGCCGATTCAAACAAAAACTCGCACAACTTCAAACAAAAATTGCAGAATTTACCCTTAAAAATTTGATATGCAAGCCAATTTTATGAACGGAAAATCTAATAGAAAAAAAATGTTAAAGCTAATTTTGAATTGTCAATATAATTTATCAAAATTTATCCATCTTGCAATAGAGGTATAAATTCATGACACCTCATATCCTAGCCCAAAGGCCTTCGGCATTTTTTTACTAACTCTAACTTCCGTGAGAACCCCAAAAGTCGGTATCTTTTAAGGTCTTACAGGGAACTAATAAACTAACCCCTAATCCCCCAGAACCCCGATGTGGGACAAAGCCACCACAAACGGAGGAAGCCTGCTACTAGGTCCAACTGGAAACCCGACCCCCCCCACCGGAAGCTTTTTTCTCATATCTAAGCCCAAAGGCCTTCGGCATTTTTTTACTAACCCTAACTCCTGTGAGAACCCCAAAAATCGGTATCTTTTGAGGTTTCACAGAAAACTAATAAACCAACCCCTAACCCCCCAGAACCCCGACGTGGGACAAAGCCACCACAAACGGAGGAATTCATGACACCTATCTTCGTCCAAATTTGAAATTATTTTGTTGTACTTTCAAATAGTTTCAATTGGCTTTTTACACTTGGGATGCATTTGAGTATTAATGCTTGAACTGGCAAAACATTTACACACAGTACACACAGTAGCAGCTATGGGGAGTGATAACAATTCGGCGGAAGGGATGGCAATCGACGACGACAACGAGGAGGCGGCTCCACCGTCTGAGCCACCGCAACAGATGTTAACTAAATTTCCCGACACTGACTTAACAAACGAAAGAGAGCTGAAGAAATTGAAGCTTGCCGAGGTAGAAGATAAAGAAGAAGACGAGGGCAGAAAAGTAGCTATAGCTGCTCTTCCCTTAGCCATGGCTGCTCCAACAAGCAGTGATGACGAGGAGACCATTGACGAGAATCCGCACCCTATTGGTAAACTTGTTAGGGTTTCTGGAAAAGGAACAGGCAGGAGGAAGCATTACAAATCTTTTGGATATGATGGAAAACGGTATGATCTGGTAAGAAATATTCAAAATTTCCTCTTTCTTTAATTGCATGGTAGCTCATTATCTAACTGTTCTGTAATACTGTAGGAGGATCCTGTGCTCTTAGCTCCTTATGAACCAAATCAGAAACCTGACCTGGCCATAATTAAGGTAATTTCTGAATTTTGTTAACCAAGTTGTCCTGGATGGATGTGAAAGATAAAGATACATGCTTTGATTTTTGATTTTATTGTAGATTAATTTTGAGATGGAAAAACATTGATAATTATTTTCAAGGTTTTACTACTCTTGTTTCAATTCTTTTGACCCCTGTGTTGGTTCTTGATCCAAAGATTTTGTTTTAGCACTAGTCTGTTGTCTGCTAAGCTGTGATTGATCTTTCATAATCTTTGTTGGGGTGTTAGGCTTTGGAACTGTATAGTTTGTCAAATAGGCTCCTATTCAGCTTCTGTCTTCAAAATAAGTCCCTCTGCGGTGTGCTTTTTGAAATAGTTTTGTTATTCTCTAGGTCCTCATGTTTTCTTCCTAAGATGATTTACGACTGATGCTACACCATTTGTCGGTTTTATTAGAGAGGTGATCCTATTGGTTAATGCAGGTCATTATAGATTTCCACACTTTTTGAATCAACCAAACTAATTGATAACTTTAATCATGTAAATGTTTAGACCTTTCACTTTCTGTTTCTTCTTTTGTGTTAAATGGAGATCTCTCAAAATATTGGTTTTAGTTCTTTAGAAAAGGAACAGGTGAATTAGCTCTGTTCAACTTCCCACCGTGGTTAGAAGCCAATTCTGCACATACAGTAGCAGCAGCTATGAACTATCAACTAGATTGCTAGCAGTCCTTTTTTTTTCCTGCCTTTTTAATGCATCTTCTCTTCCATGTCATTTTACTGTTGAAGCAGAACAAACTGCAAATCGTTTTGGTGGCCAACGCACCATCACTCACTAGAATAATGACTAACAAGAACCCCCTCTTGTTTTGTTGTGTATCTGTGTTGGATGAGATCGTTAACAAGTTCAAAATCTCCAAATCAATAGGTGTATTAGTGAAAATTTTTAAAATTTAGCTTTTATATTGGGAAGTCCATGTCACACTACATGGATCAGGATGAGAATATAACTTTAGAAAGAAAACTTCAAAAAAATTTTCCGATATTTACTTCTCTAATATGCTTTAGTTTTTGTTGTCTTTCTAATATCTCTAATACACACAAAACTGCTCATTTACACATATAAAAACTCTTGCGAATACTAATGCAGTGAATGCACATGAACTCAGATGGAAGTTCAGTTCCACAACCCTGATCTGTGATCTGTTTACCTCTTGCCATCTCTTTGGTGCTGTTTTCGCACAATTGATGAACTGTCATTCTGTAATGTAGGACATAACTCAAACAAAAGGTGGGAGGATGATGGTAATTGGGCAAAGATTTTATCGTCCTGGAGAGGCAGAAAAGAAAGACGGTGGATTTTGGCAATCCAATAATACAAGAGAGCTGTTTTACAGCTTTCATAAGGATAAGTTTCCGGCAGAGTCTGTCATGCACAGATTTGTGGTGCATTTTATACCTCCAAAAATGCAGATCCCACCCAGAACAGAGCATCCTGGTTTCATTGTGCAAAGGATGTATCACGCTAAACGAAAACTGCTCTTCAAGCTTAAAGATGCTGGAGCCAACAAAGAAGAAGAGATTGATCTCCTTGTTCAGAAGACAAAGTCACGGCTAGGAAATCTGCCTAACATTCAGCCTAAGGATGCTGTTGCTCATTAGGGACATCTATGCTTTTTTTTTTTTTTTGTCAAAACGATAACATTTGTATTGATTTAAAACTTGATAATACAAGTATGCTTTACAAAAGGGGCTAGCTGCCCTCACAATCCTTTCTTGCTAGATCCTTAATCCAGCCTGGGAAATTTGATTCCCAATATACATCATTAACTAGTTTCAAGGCAAATTTTGCTAGCCTATGACACACTTCATTTCCTTCCCTATATATAAAGGAGAAATTGCATTGATCAAAAAACTCCCTTAGCTTTTGTATGTCCTCCAATATCACAGCACAGTTGCAGTTGTTGCATGAGACTGTTAGGATGCAGTCTATCACACTTTTGCAGTCTGATTGTATTTCAATCTTCCTCCAGCCTGCTTCTTTTCCTAGTTGCATTGCTGCTCTGATTGCCGTAGCCTCCTCTAGTTCTGGTTCCCCTATCTTCTCCTCCATTATGGCCCAAACTTTCATGATCTCTCCTTTCCAGTTCCTAGCAACAATTCCTTTACCAGTTCTGATCATCTGTGCTGAAATTGCAGCATCAGTGTTTATCTTGTACGCACCTTCTATTGGAGGCTTCCATCTTCTAAAATGCTGATTGGGGGTTGCTTCAGCAATGCCAGCTCTTCCTTCTAGTTCCACAGCTTCCTTGAATTCCATCCATTCTTGTTGAGCTTTCCTTACGACTGTGATTTCCTCCACTTTTGCATTGTCGAAAATGATCTTGTTCCTTGCTTTCCAGATTTGCCAGAGGATATTGATTGTTAGTTCTATATGCTCCTTACCATTGGCTCTTTAAGTTGCTTCTAAGAGTCCTTCCCACCATCTCCAGAAGCAAGCTTGCAGGTCTATTAATCCATCCCAGCTGATTGGACTGAGTTTCCAAATCTTCTTAGCATAGTCACATTCAAAAAATAGATGCTCTAGAGTTTCAATTCCATCCCCACAGCTTGTGCATATGTTGTCCCCCTTCCCTGTTCTTCTGTGCACCAAGTCATTAACTGGAATACAGTTTTGCAGACATTTCCAAATAAAGTGTTTCAGTTTGTGTTTAACATTTGTTCCCCACACTTTTTTCCACAAACTTTCCTTCCTGTTATGGCTACTTGTCTGCTCCTTGATCTGCACTGTTTTTGTTGCCCGTGCCTCCATTTCCTTTGCTAGTGCATAACCTGATCTCACTGTGTACTCTCCAGTCTTTGAGTGGTTCCAGATTAGCCTGTCCTTTCTTTGGTATATACTGAGTGGTATTTTTGCAATCTTTTGGGCCATCTCTCTGCTAAATATTTTATTCAGTAGCTCCTTATCCCATTGTCCTTGTTTCATCAAATCTTTGACATATTGGACGTCCCCATTTGCTGCTCTATCTTGTTCCACTCTGCCATCTCTTGAATCTGGTATCCATCTGTCTTGCCACACCATGATAGTACTCCCATCCCCAGCTTGTTTTCTTATGCCATTTATCAAAAGGAATCTTGCACTCAGTAGGCTCTTCCGTAGGTATGATGCTGATGTAGAAGCTTGCCTCATCCAGTCCAGTTCTCTTTTCATGTATTTTGCTCTCATAACTCTACTAGCAAGCCTATTCGGCTGAGCAATGATCCTCCACAGTTGCTTTGCTAGTAAGGCTGCGTTGAGCATTTCCAGGTCCCTGAAGCCTAGTCCTCCTTTTCCTTTAACCTCAGTGAGTGCACTCCATTTGGTCCATTGTATTTTCCTTTGATACTCATTTGCCCCCCACCAAAACCTTGCCATTTAGGGACATCTATGCAACTAACAAGATTCTAGGTAATGTAACATGTGTACTGTGCCTTTGATGCTCATTCTGTACAAATTTACTCGAATGAATATGAGCTGCTTTTTTTCCTTTTTTTTTTCCCCTAATGTACGAATCTTAGTTTTCTCAATTCTGAGTTGTAACTGTAATTTTAACCTTTATTACCCTGCTTTGACGTAATTTCCTTTTGTTATGCGATCATGTAATTTTGATATCTTCAGAGCTTTGTGTACCCCTTAGTTTGTTGCTCTGAGTTATTGAAATAATGGAAAGAAGTTGCTATAATTTCTTTGTTTTATTTATCTCTCGTCTGGTCATCTGTACTGATGTATCAACACCATGAGCAAGAGCTGTAAGGCAGGCTCAAAGGCTCAGCATTGCTTGTTATTTTTAGACGTCCCAAATTTAGAGTATGAATTCTTGAGCATGAATAACAGCACAAGCTTTGAATTCACAACCTTGATATAATAGAAACTGATGCCTTCGACCTTCAACTTAAACATCAGTAAGATTTTGTTTATTCCTTAATTTTAAGGCTTGTAATCAGCAGATATATTATCAGGCAAATTCGAGCTTAATCCATCAGTAGAATTCAGTTCACAGAAAGCACAAGTGACTAATGAAAGTGACTCTTTTCGGGGCTGTTGCTTAATCCCCAGTAATTAGTTCCCAATTGCCAATGGCCATGAGGGAAACAATAATGTTTTCATCTATTACTTTTCATTTTATATCTTTGTAGATGGTACTTAGTAGCATGTAGATTAGCTCCAATTGGGCTAACATAGAGTTGCCTTCAATTTTGCCAAAATAGAAGGAACATATATATATTGTCTTAAATGGATCAAAATCAAAGTAGCTCCTTCCTCTTTTATCTTTTGGCCTATCGCAGTCAGAATTGCAAAAACAATTTCTATAGAAAGAGTAACCATTGTTTCAATTTCTTAAATCGAAGTGGAACGTGTACTCTACTATTATGAAATTACTAGAACAGCACAAACTGATCCATTATTAAGATTACTCGTCAAATTCCTCAATCAGTTGAAAAAGTTAACTATCAAAGAGATACAAGAGATGATGAGCAAGGTCACTTCAAGGTATTAAACTATTCGCAAACTGTTGCATATGCATAAGAAAATGATCTGGTGGCATGTGTAGAGACCCATGAGGACATCACTGTGTACCTTAAATTCTAAATTAAAATGCAAGATTTTTTTTTCCTCGACTCGAGCCATTTTGGACTTGAGTCAACACACCAAATCTGGGGAATACGCCGTGGCCTCACACGACGCATCTCAAGCAAGTCACGAGAGTTCAAATTCAGGTAAGATTTGAACTCAGAACCAATTGAGTCCTTAAGATTTTTGGTTTGTTCTTTTCTTTAAGGGGTAAGGGGCAAAGCAAAGACAAGGCATGAAAGTTCTATCGTTGCTGTGGTCAAGAACAGATGTATTTGCATGAAAACTGGGTTAAACAGGCATAAAAGCCAAGAACGTAAAACAAAAAGCAGGACACAGAAAATCCCACGTAGCATGAGGCACTCATCTCTGGTTGAACAGCTTGTTTTTATTCCAATTAGCATGCAGTTCCTTGTAAGTTGTAACCAATTAATTAGCTCGAATTTAGGATGTTAACAGCAATAGAAAGAGCATTTGCAATGTGATATTAGTCGACTAATTAAATAGGGGCACTGAAAAAGATTGATATATGACTCCCTTGAATCCATATAATTAATCTCTAGTTCTTGTTAGATGATGAACAATATTACACAGTAATAATCCCACTTCATCTAAACATTTCCATTCATCCAAGCTAACTCCTCTGTGTCTCCTATCCAACAGAAATTATAGCCTCTGATCATATCAGATAATTAAGTTGCTATCTTGTTAGCCCGGCTTACCCTATAATAAGTACCGACATTCTACTAATTCACACGTCAAAAAACTACTAAAAGCAAAAGTAGAAAAAAGGACAGTAATGGGGTTCAGGGGTTGTGAGAAATTCTGGCAATGATATTATGAAGCTGATCAAGAAATCAGAGCCAAAGCGCTCCGGCATCCTTAAGGAGAGGAACCAGACTGCCATTAATATGGCAAGCCATGACTGTTTCAATGCCACCCAAGAACTTGCCCCCCACAAAGACTGCAGGAACAGGTTGTTGCTGAGTTTTGCCAGAGAGCTGCAAGAGAAGGGAATGGATTTCACGGCCAGCAGCGTCGTGGTCGAGCTCCACGATTGTCGGGGCTACGCCTAAGCCAAAGAGCAGTTGCTTAACAACATGACACATGCAGCAGCCACTCATGGTGAAGATGACCACCGCATTGCCCGATGCCAAGAGGCGCACCTTCTCATAGATTGACTCCATTCTCAATCCTAGGGAATGGGATTCTCCGGGCTTGTCCATTGGGATGCTTGATGACTCCTTCACTACCTGCATGATTGCTCCTTAAAATATTGATTCTTCTTTCCTACTCTGTGTTGTGTGTGTTTTTGTATGCAGTAAGTGTATTGATAGAACGAGACTTTTCAAACACCTTTGAAATCTTTAAAATATGAGAGGGAGAAGAAAGCAGCAAATTGAGAAGGAAAACACAAAGTGTTTTTATACGCAAAAAATGTATTGATAGGATGGACGCTTTTCAAGAACCTTTGAAAACTTTAAATAGGAGAGGGAGAAGAAAGCAGCAAATTGGCAAGGAAAACACAAAAGAAAGTAGGCTGAAGGTTGAAAGCAAAAAGGAAAGAAGATGATGGAGGGAATATTATAGTAAGATGGTCAAAAGGGTCTGTTACAGCTTACAAGTACAACTGACAACAAAGGAAAAATAAAGGACAGCACACAATTTTTTCCTGAAAGACCAAACATCTTCTAGTTATACGAACTTGCACATATTTTAGCCCCAGCTTTAGTTAAAGCTATTGTTTGAGAGGGAGACAAAAATAGCAGCATCTGCAGGGCCTATTAGTTGTCCTGTACTCTGCATGCCATTCTGATGGCTTTGATCTCATCTTCTTCCACTTAGAATTGTACACATTTGCATACATGCCTTTCTTTTCTGCATGCCTTTTGTGTTCTATTAACGTATGCATGCATCCCTTTTCTTTTAATTACATGTATAACATAAAGAGAAAGAGAGTATTGATTATTACTGAAAGAAGCAACATCACAATCACAACAGAAAAAATTTCCAGTTGGTCATCGATTTTAGAAGAGAGAGAGAGAGAGACAAAGATAGAAAATCCCATCCCATTCCAGCAAGGGGGACAAGTGTTAGCTAAGTCTGATCAGAGACTGAAATTTTGGTGTGTACTTTAAAGGCGTGAGCATTGTATGAGTTTCCACCAAACTGGCCAGTTCCGCTGAAGCCTTGATCTAATTGGATGTTTCCTCCTAAACACTTCCATTCTTCTTTTGCCAAAGGTCTAACAAGTCACAGATTTAAATGTGTAGGTTCATGATTTTTCCACTCAATTAAGTTGTCAAATTTAATATACATTTGTATAAATGAAAGCATAATATGAACCATACGTTGCTCAGCTCAACCCTCGACCCTTTCAGTGTTTTGAGTAAAAGTTTGATTCATACATTTAGTATACATTTAACATATACTTGTACACTTGAAAATGAACGTGTATTGTTCAGACCTCAATGCTTACTCCTTGCTAGTGTAATGTGTAGCTAGATGATGGTGAAGATAATGTGATTGTTTCATAGTAGATATGGAGGGATTTGTGCATTTTAAGTTGAGGATGCCATTTTAAGGTTTGACATGGTACTTGTAATTGTTCAGTGATTTGGGATGAATTGCAATTCCATTAAAAATTGGTCTTCTTTTGTCTTAGAGGATGAGATTTTCTAGTAATATATTATCAGGTCAAGAAGAAGGCTATCATATTTCTAAAATAAAAAGAAACACAAAAAGGTTATGTATTGCTAACTACAGCTTTGTATAATTTCACCAAAACCCAAAAAAAAAAGGAAAGAAAGTTTTACAATGAATAATCCTTTAAAAATAACAACAGCAACAAGTTGAAATATAATACAATTTGATGACTATAATCTTTTTTTTTTTTTGGAACAGAAGTTGTATGAAAACCATCCCAACAGAGACACTTGTATTACACACTGTACATGCATGCTTTTCGTACTCATTAAACGTCTGCATGAATCAAGAAGCATCTATTTTTATTTGTAAAAAAAAATAAAAAGTTACAGAGAGAAAAGCTCAAAGCATCACAATCCCAACGGAAAAAATTGCAGTTGGTCACAGAAAGTAGCAGAGAAAAAGAGCCAATCAGAGCAGGGGACAAGGGTTACCTCAGGCACTGAATTTGGGTCAGAACTTTAAAGGCGTGATCGTCTTATTACAACTCCGGATGGTACGGCCGCCGTTAAGGCGTTTTAGATACTATCACTCACTTAGGAGGTCCTTCTAGGTCTAGCCCCTTATGTTGTTCGCTTGCAAAGGCGTCACAAGCCCTATTGTACTTTAGATCTTTCATTATGGAAGAGTTATGGAGGGTGTGGTGAGTTTAATTACCATTTTTAGCTTTGATTGATTAAGAGTGTCCATTGTTGTTTGGTTTAGGATCCTCTCCATTTAGGGTAAATAACCAATGTTCATTTATCTAATAAAACAAATTCTAACACGATTCATAGAAGTCAAAATTATTATAAGTTGAAGGGAGGGATGAATCGAATAGTTGATACGTAAAGGTTAACCCTTCCATACAAGATCCAAAAATTTCATAACAGAGTCCCGCGAGACTTGAACTTGGGACGTTGGGGTTATTTATCTGGTTCTGATACCATTGGTACGTAAAGGTTAACCCTTTCATACAAAACTCAGAAATTCCATAACAATAGTATAAGGGGAGAGAATACAAGTGAGGGGTTCTGAATTCAAAACCCTCGCTTCCACTTTAAAAAAAATCATTATAAGTTGTACGCAGATAATCACATTGAACAAACAAACATTATACTATGTGATTATGTACAATTAGATTTTGAGAGGGAAAAAGAAACTGCAGCAGTTGATAACAGAATCCTTCCAGGGAAATGCAGCAAATGCGGCAGAATTGTGATAAGGAATGAAATTCAATAACGAGATCAATGAATTGACCTAATTAAGTGTGTTTGGATAGCAATAATTTTCAAATATTATTTTACTTGCATCATAATTACAATTTTTGATTAATTTTTATCCTCTCAATAATCATTTTATCTCACATATATCTCATCACAAATGTTAATCTCTTAGAGAAGAGTCTAATTAGAACATAGTCCTCAAGTCCAAATGATCCCTTCTTGACCCTTTTTACAAAGTTGAATGAACAAAAAGGTCAATCGCTTGTCATCACTCAGCAGTGTCAATTGGGTGAAAGCTAAAGAATTAGAAAATTATAATAGTTGTAATGTTCCTAGCCCTCTGGTGGAACATAACCGTACAAGAGAAACTTGGTATTTTGTTGCATGAATCAAGCCCTTTTTTTTTTTTGGCATGAATGAAGCTTGTAATGATTAGATCAAGGTTTCCAACATAAATTAAATATTTAGGGCTCATTTGGATTTGACTCGTGAATGAGTTGAGGCAGGATGAGTCATGTTAGGGGTTTAATTGTCTGACGAGCACGTGGTGATTGGATTATGAAAGAGTTTAACAGGGTTCTTTTATTAAATTTTTTTTTACTGCATATTGCTTTGGCACCTTTTTTTTCAAATCTTATGTCATCATGATTCTCTATTGATTTGATTGTTGATTTTAGGATCATTAAGATCTCATCATTGTCCAATCAATGTCTAGATATATGAGTTATGCCATTATGGAATGAATTAATTTTCTATACATTAACAATGTATACACACTATCATTGTTAGATGCTGGATATGCATGCAAAATTTGGATTCTGCGTTTAAATTTATATTAGTTGTCATGCTCCAACATTGAGAGTATATCTACAAAATTAACTCTTGTGATATTAATTGATGCGAAACTTGTCCTCTTGCTTCTTTATTTTGTTATATTATTATTTTCTTGCTTCTTTTGATCACAGAATTTTTCTGTTAATTTGGACGAAACTTCTACTAATGATGTATTAATTGGCATCCATTCATAATTTTCTTGACAATAAGGAGGTTTGCTGTGCTCCACGATTTTTGCTTTCAGACTGCTGGACAACAAGACAAGTCATGTGAATTCCTACAAAAACTCGGTCTATGCAATGATGCAATAAAAGCACGCTTTCTGGCGCCGCAATAATGAATTGGAGAGACGTATCCAAAAGGCGTTATTTTTTGAAGTCATATTCCAAACTAAAAACTCACCAAGCACAAGAAGTTTCACACTCTAGTCAATTAATCCATTTGCCAAGCTTCCTCATAAAAGACCAAGAAAACATCAACAATCATATGCCTATGATGTGCTAGGTTATAGCAACATTTTTGCATGATATTTTGCCTAGCAATGGTGCAACAAACTCTATTTTTTTTTCTTTCTTCTCTTTGATTAATCAGACCTCATACTACATCCTTGAGTTATGGATTCTAGATCATTTCTGTCGTAGATGAGATTACCCCATCTAATCAATTACAGGCGAGAGACATCGATAACTACAATTATGTAGCGTTCGAAATGATTTGATTAAACTAATTATATTTTAAGTATGTTCGAAGCGAGACTTTTAAGTCTTACCCCCCCCCTCCCACGAAAAAAGGAGGAAGATTGGAGGACCAAAGCAAAAATCTCATAGTAGTAATCTGACTGATGTCCCTGTAAACTAAAGTGAGCTTTGGCCAACCTATAGTTGTAATTCAAACTTGTAATGAAAATTGAGTGACATATAATATTTTATGAGTTAATTTTATATACACTGACACTGACAGTGCATGATGCACATGCAAAATTTAGATTTCAAATTTAAATTTGAATTATGTGTCATGTATCCAATGATAAAAGTGCATACACTATCAGTATATAGAAGATTAATTCATATCTTATTTAGTTGATTTGGGGTTTGGACCGTTGTCATTTGTAAAAAAAAAAAAAAATTAGCGGGTTAAAACGGTTGGGTTTCGCTGGCTGTCAAGCCCAGACATTTTGTGGGTTCAAGGCTCAATTGTCCATTTCGGCTTTGAGCTTAATTTTTCTTCTTTATCTTAAATTCGAAGCCCAAAGAAAATTATTGGATTTGGGGTGGTCTGATCTGCATAGTTGATATGGCGTGGCCCAATAAAATTTCAAATTCATATTGACAATGTAGTCCCAAGAAAAGATATGCTCTCTTGTAGTAGACCCCAAAATTATGGGAAAGTTGTACCTTGCCTCCCAAATTCATATCAACATTTTGCACCCCTTAGCTAAAGTTAAATAATTTTGCCATCTTTTCCAACCAAAAAGAAGGCGTGTAGAATTATATGCCTTTGTGTAGGGCTTGAAA